ATAATGAGGTCAAAGAGACATTCATGGAGGCGGTAGCGTCTGTTATAGAGCAGCTAGTGACCATTAATGCGATATCGTCAGCATACTGGAGGACTTTGCAATCATAATTTAGACAAGAAGGGAGGTCGTGGGTATAGATATTATATAGGATGGGACTAAGGACTGACCCCTGAGGTAAACCCCTCCAGGCGGTTCTCTGTGTAGGGTTATCCTCAGGAGTTCTCAGTTGAAGGGTACGGTTGGAAAGGATGCAGCCTATAATTTGGCAAATCCTACTCGGGATTCTCAGCTCCTGCAATTTCTGCCTGAGAAGGGGTAGGAGGACAGAGTCATAGGCCGACGAGACGTCCAGAAAGACCGCCACCAACGACTCATTCCTGCTAAGGGCCAGTCGGATGGCTGACGTGAGGGTACCCACACTATCAGCCGTACCCAGACCTTTCCTGAAGCCGAACTGAGCCGCCGGGAACAGCCCCCGGCTTTCCATCGACCATTCCAACCGGGTCTTTATTAGGTGTTCAAGGATTTTGATAAGTATGGACGATAGGGCAATAGGTCTGTAAGACGAATGGTCACCAGGATCCTTGCCAGCTTTTAACAGCGGCATGATAACCTGAACCTTCCAGATAGGAGGAATATAGCCGAAAGTAAAACAGAAATTGACTAAGTCAAGGTAGTACTGCTTGGTTTTGGCTCCTGCTTTAACCAAGAAGGAGTAAGGAAACCCATCAATGCCTGGTGCGGAATCCTTTACATGATTAAGGACCATTTGGAGCTCATCGATGGTGAAATTTTTATCGAGTGGGTCTCGTGAATCCTCATGTTGACCCGGACAACATTCATCCTCGCCAGGGACATACAGTGGAGCAATGTTGGTGAAGAAATTGTGGCTCAGACCTTCAGGCAAAATGGAAATTGAAGGAGGCTTCGAAGAATTTCTGAAGCTCTTCACTCTCCGCCACACTGTTGCCACCGGCGTGGACGGGCTTAGGGAACCACAGAATCTCTGCCACCCCTGTCTCTTCTTCTTTTTAAACAGTTTTCTTGACCTAGCCAATATCTGCTTGAAATTAAGGAGATTTTCCAGGCTCATGTCGTGGTTATATGCCTTTTCAGCCTCATTCCTGGCTCTTATCATGGCAGTACATTCACTATCCCACCAAGGAGGGGAAGGGATTTTGCCTTTTGGTGTGCTTTTCACTGGGAAGCAATCTTCAGCTGTGGAAGCTATCAACTCAGAAAACTTTGAAAAACACTCCAAAGCATTCTGGTTATCAATGGGTGGGAGAGAAGAAATGCGGAAGTCTAATAATTTTGAATACAGGTCCCAATCTGCTTTTTCTAATCGATATTTTAATAGAGGGGGGAGGGATTTATCAGGAGTGGATTTGGAAGGATTTTTGATTATGATGGGATAGTGATCGCTACCATAAGTCATATTCAAACAGCTCCAGTTCAGCATGCTTGCCATATTAGATGAGCAGAAGGTTAAGTCCACACAACTGCTTCTTTGTCCAAATGCAGATCTACGGGTCGGGCTGCCGTCATTAATATTACATAGGTTGAGCTCATCCATCATTTCAACGAACTTGCTGCCTATGTTGTCGCATAAATCCGAACCCCATCTATAATGATGACAGTTGAAGTCACCCATTACGAATAATGGACCACTGACTGACATTAATAAATTTTTAATTAAAGCCAAATGAGTAACAAGAGGGTGCGCAATATAAAACATAATTTTATCCTCAGCCTTAACAGCGACAACATTTATGTCATCGCCGACGAAGGGTAAAGGAATCTGGGTGAAGGGTACTTTGTTGTTAACTAACAAAGCACAACCTCCATAACCATCAGATCTGTCCTGTCTGACAATGCTGAAGCACGGGATCCCGAAATTGATATTCGGTCGGAGCCATGTCTCAGCAAGTCCACAAATCGATGGTTTGAATTTATTAACTAAATGTATCAGGTCACTCTTCCTGGGAAGAGTACTCCTCACGTTCCACTGAAGAATTGTAAGTGGGTGGAATTTTATATATGTAGTCTAGGATAGTAGCTAATCTATGGGCGACGTGGTCAGGTACATTTTGATTAGGGTTAGATAACACTGCCATGAGCATGCTGGAAATTACATCTAAAATGTTAGAGCTACGAGTGTTGGTTCCGGATTCCACAGGGAAAGCGCAACCATTCTGGGATGGAGAAAAAGAGTAATCATGATAAGGGCCTGATGGGCCTTCTTATCATAGCCGGGAGAAAGAGGAGCATGGGATTTGGGTTTGACAAAAACTGTTTTTTTGTAAACTGTCTTTGTGGGGATGGTTTTTTATTTGGTGTTGATTGAATGTAATTGATAGACTTGGATTTAGAAACCTCGGCATAAGATTTTTTGACCGCAGGAAACACATGGCTTGCTTCCGCATAGGAAATCGCTTTTTCAGCCATTAAGGCCTTAATACTTTTCTGGCGTCCTAACTCAGGACAGGAGCTGTTATTGGCATAATGATTGCCATTGCAATTTATGCAACGTGCAACTTCTTCCGTCACTAGGCAGCCATCGCCAGGATGATCCTGACCACATCTGAAGCAACGCGGTTTGGAGCGGCACAACGTGCGGGTGTGCCCAAAGCGACAACAGTTGTAACACTGTATTGTAGGGTATGTATACAATTCTACAGGGAGAGCAGAATAAAAACAAAAAACTTTCTTTGGTAAAATTTGCCCATCGAAAGTGAGAACCACAGTTTGGGTAGGCTTCCATTCCGTACCATTGTCTGATGAAACTCTACGGTTCATCCGTCTTGCTTTAATTGCAATCCCACACCCAGCGGGAACCTTAATGTTCCTAATAATTTCCTCCTCTGACCATTCAATGGGAACATCCCTCACAATGCCCATAGTTATGTTGAACTGAGGGATTGAGGTAATATAATTTTGTGCTACCACGCAGTTAATAAGGAAGCTATTCGCATCCTGGTGAGACACAAACTCAACCGACACTCTGTTTCTACCGAGTCGCTTCACTCCTCCAATTTTAATATTGTTGATGTTATTCTTTGTCAAGAACATCCCGAATTGATTGGGTGAGTAGTGCCACTCGTCTGGGAGTCTTTAAGAGAAACATGGACAATATAGGAGGGTTGTCTCTAGCCGTATAGCACTGCCTACCATTAATACTTTTCGCTAGCTTCGGAGGATTGATACGGGATAGAATGGGAAACCAGCAGGTCGTTTCCTGTTAGCATTGCTTTCGGAATCCATTGATTCAAGATCCTGGTTGTCATGGGGGAGCGTGACGCATAAAATGGGATTGTACTCTGGAGATTTGTCGGGAGGGTCAGGAGGCTTCTCTTCATCCATTGTTAGGTATAGGAGTAAAAAAGGTGGGAAGGGGAAACAAAACTTAAGACTACTACACCTTAATAAAACTTACACACACAATTACACAGCACAAAATTAAATGATTTCAATTTAGTTCACTATGAAAAAGATCACTAAAATTGACAACAATCGTAGTACCAATAAAAGCACGTGCGTAACCTTCACCACTACCAACGAAAGTCCGTCGAAAGAATTCGTTTCTGTATAAAAATATGTGTCTAATAATTTAAATTAATCTACCAGACGGACATTAAAATAAAAATTAGGCAACTACCCTAATAAATAAAAATACAGTAGAACCCGTTTAAGACGATCACGCTTAATACGATTTCTCGCATAATACGCCATTTTACGTCGGTCCCTGCAACTTAAAATATATTTTCATACATTTCTTAACGCTTAATACGATTCGTCATCCCGTTTAATACACGCCGAGCAGCGAGAGAGGTGAGCGGTCAGCAATTGAAGATCTTATTGAGAATGTGAACAACACACAAAACGAAGCCCTAAGTGATAATGATGAAGACGAAGATGAGTCAACTCCGGTTTTGTCAAACGCCCAGGCATTATCAGCTGTTTATGATTTAAGACGCTATGTAGCTTCTATGGATCAAAGCGAAGACGCACTGCAAAAGTTGAATTATGTTGAAAATCTTTTAATTGCTAATGCATCAAAATCTTTTTGTCAAACCAAAATAAGTGATTATTTTAAATAATGTAATTTTAATTACACTACGTATTTAACGTAATTTATAAATGTATAATTACAAAAATTAGAACATATTACATAATAATAAGTAGTTAGTACTTTTTTTTATTTTCCCTATCCCGCATAATACGCTTTCTCGCTTAAGACGCGTTTTTGGTAAGGTCCCTGAGAAATCGTCTTAAGCGGGTTTTACTGTATATTATATACCCGAGCGTACGGCGCGTCGCGTTCCGCGCGCGCCTCAAAGAGTCATCGGACCACCACGGATGTGGCCCAATACGGAGCCGCGGAGAACCTAACGGGTTACCGAGGCTCCGGCTCAAAGTGCAGGAGTAGGAACGGGATGGTTTTTAGTCAGTAAGAGTCTGACACTCCGTCCCGCCTCACCTAGGGGAGAAGCCATTCGATAATATTTTCCCTCCCCTTTAAAAAAAATAAACAAAAAAAAACTCTATTAAGTAGATATTTATTGATTTGATCTTGGATTTTCATGCGTTTCGTTTACAAAACAAATCGTATAAAACGTTTCGATATTGCTATTCTTATTCCAACTAATGTCTAGAAATTAAAATGAAAACAGCAGTCGTTTTAAATAAAATATTCAAAGTAGTCTTGTTTGAAATGAAATTTATGGTAAAGTAAACATTAAACAAGATTGAATACACTTTATTTACCCATTTTAAACGTGGTTTACGAAATATGAATATTTTTTTAGAAAGCACTCACACATTTTTTATCTGTTAATTTATGAGCTGTCTTCTGTCGTTACAGTGCAATAACAAAACGCGTTTGAAGTGTTGAGTTGTTGATTGTAGTTTGCAGTTTGCATTTGTGTTCTAATTTTTTTATTTTTCCATCAGTTTTATGTTAGTTTCACTAATGTTTTTGGCTCCACCTTAGTTTTAGGATGACAATGGAAAGGAGGATAAAGTTAAAGGCATTAAACAGTCACATTACTTGCAAAATATGTCGGGGCTACTTCATCGACGCGACCACGGTCACCGAGTGTCTTCATACGTGTTAGTGCTTCTTTAATTACTGTTGATTTATTTAGTGCTGTTATTATTAAGAATCCTAAATAATACCGGTGTTCACAAATCTAACAATGTTTTACAAAGTGTTTATCGATGCCAATGACATTCAAGATCATAGAGACCGATCAATATTTCCCGCTACATTTTTAACTTGATCTTTATCTGATGGCAAAGGACAAACCTTATAATACCTAGAACCAAAAACCGTGAATTAGGCAGTAGGATTTACAACCTCTTTTGTTTTATTACAGTCTGTAAGAGCTGCTTAGTGAAACATTTGGAGGAGAACAACACATGTCCAACATGCGACATAGTGATACACCAGTCCCACCCATTACAGTATATCAGCTTCGACCGGACAATGCAGGATATAGTGTATAAGTTAGTGCCAGACTTGCAGGACAGTAAGTATTTCTCTTTGTAAGTTCGTAACAAGGAGGTTTTATGCAATAATCTATAGCTACACTCTACAGTGTAAGTTGAAGAATCCATTGTCTAGGAATTGAAGGTCCTCTATAGGAAAATACAAATATAATGGTATATTCTTCAATTAGTTGTACTGATGAAAGTCTTATTGGTGTGGCTTGAAACACAATTTTATGAAGGTACACACCATTATATTGTGTAATGCATATTTGTAGTTAACTGTGACCTAAAATAAAAAATAAGCTTCCATCTGAGACACTAAAAATGTGTATAATTCAATACTAAATGCAAATCTAACTGATTCCAGATGAAATAAAACGTGAGCGTGATTTCTATCGAGCTCGCAATCTGCCTTGCCCCAAGGATGCGGCCCTGGCTGCGGACAAGCCCGGAGCCGATGAACCTGAACAGCCAGATAACACTGACTGTCATAGGAAAGATGAACAGGTATGAAACGGTTGTAATATTAGTTTTAGGATAAAAATCTATGTTGCAAGTTATATTTGACATGCTACATAGGTTTCTTTTATCTTCAGAATAATGTAGAAAATGCATTCTGAGGTTTGAGCTCGGCTTACATAATACAGATGATAGTGCGTATGGTACAGAAAATACATACATACTCCACTTACTTAAAGTAAATACTTAGAGTAAATACTTAATACATACGTAATAATGGTCTTTCTCGCTTCTTGTTCTCCATGTGAATCTACACGATAGAACAAGCAATCTAGCTTTAACTATGCACAGTTATGAATGTATTAATTCATTGAAATGACTTTGATTAATCTTGTTTATTGTTTGTATTGCAGGTGAATGTATGCCTGGAGTGCATATCAACGTCGCTACGGACACTGAAGCGCAGCTTCATCCGGTGCTCAGCACAAGCCACGATCACACACCTCAAGAAGTTTATAGCTAAAAAAGTTTTAAGCGGAATGGAGAAGTATAGAGAAGTAAGTTATAATGTTTTGTGATCAAAATATCTTTTTATTGATTTAATCATTTGTGTCTAAAACGCAAATCCACACGAGACACTATGTATTTTATCAATAGAAAATACATTATTTTTAATCATGTACTTTTTCATTATTTAATTTCATAATTTGCTTTGGATGTTGCCCATAATATTAAAGGTTCATAATAAAAATATATCTGAGTATTTCTTTTAAAGGTGGTAAAGACCCAGCATGCTTTATTTACAACATTTTGCCAATGACTTTAAATGAGTGCCAATGAGTTAAATTGATAATGTTTTATCTGGTTAGAGTTCTTCATTAAACAGTTGTGTACAACAGGATTAATTTGATTTTGTTCTTTTCAGATTGACATTCTATGCAATGACGAATTATTAGGCAAGGACCATACGTTAAAGTTTGTGTATGTGACGCGGTGGCGATTCCGAGACCCTCCACTGAGACTGCAGTATAGGCCTAAGATTGACTTGTAGGTGGATGATATTTTTATATTTAATACATGTAATACAACTACACTACCCGGCGATAAACATTATACATCAGGAAGAAAAAAAATTTGTATAATTTTACGATCATTTCTTTGTACAAAACCTTTAATCTTTTTATGATTCAAGGAAAGTGCTTGACAAATGTTAGCTTACACGCAGTCTCTTTCCACGACCTATAGGTCGATGTGTAATATTTATTGACGGGTACTGTAATACGACTTCACACTTCCTTTTCTAACACTCAAACATAATCTAGGCCTAGGCCTTTTTATTTTTATACATATTTATTTGAAATAAAGTAGTTTTCAAACATAGGACAACATGTCCTTTTTATGTGGATCATAATATGATCCACATAAAAAGGTCCACATAAATGCAATCATAATATTATTATGATTGCATTTGTAATCTATATTCGTAATCTATAAATATTTATTATCTGTGCAACTTCAACAGTCTGTAGTGCAATGATGGTCTTACCTTTACCATACCTAATGAATCAAATATGTAATTTTAATCTACAAGGAAGTGTCTATTTGTATTTAGTGTTAAGAAGTTAAAATTTTATTTTATTTTACCTCCCTCAAAGTCAAAATGTTTTAGGTCAATTCTATGTGTATTATTAGTTCAATTAATTCTTGTATTTTATGTTTCAATGTATATTTTAGTTTTTGTTACTTTTGTTAGCATGCTTCAGTTATTATTTGATAAAATTAAATTTAAAAGAAATCTCGAAGGGTAAAAGTATTAATGAATACTTTTTTAATTCTAATTAATTAATTGATGGATATATTTGTAATCTAGTTTTAATGGAATAAATATTTAAAAGTGGAATTAAATTTCGATGTTTTATTTTAAAAATTAGATAATAATCCCCATTCTGGTTATTGCGAAATTCTCAAAAATGGGTTGTTTTCGACGTCTTAAAACTCTTTGTAGTTACATTACATCTATTCTATTCTAATAACCAAGTGCGTACAGATATAGTATTGTAGTCTTTGGTGCGTACAACAAGAAGTCAAAGTCGTGGGTGTTACTGATAACTCTATTTTTATTACCTAAATAAATTACCTGTATTGTCGATATTACAGTCAAATTAAAGTGATTAAAATATAAATTGATACATTTTGTGTAACGGCAATGCGAATTTAGTGATAAAGAACTTAATGAATAAGTAAAATTATTTTAAAATCAGTTTTGCAGACCAATGTAGTACTACAAAAAACCGGTTTTCACAAATCGACTAAAGTTACCACCGATCCACATCACTACGTTTGACATTTATGCTAACAATGTGTGCGTAATGCAACTGTATTTATTTATAGTTCTCCGTGTGTGAGTAAATTGAAAATGGATGGCCGATAGATTCCCGTTTGGCACGTGAATAGATATATTTTTATTTATTTAATTGTAATTATCATTTGTCCGTCAAACTGGGTGCCAAAACGGTAGAGCGTTTCTTCAGTCTAGCAGACGACAACTTTGTCGAAGATGTCAACGAAGACCTGAAATGTTTTATTGCCGAAGGAAGAGTTGACAGGTAAACAATTTTATCTTTATTGTTATTCAGGGGCATTATCTCGTTATTTCCGATTTTAGTGTATTTGTGTTGATAATTTGAGGTTGTAGAACCTGTTGTAGGCTGTAGCGGTATCGTATTATGGCTTGGACATTTTCAAGGTTATTAAGTGTCAAGCGCAAACGAACGTAGGTCGCAAATCAAATGATGCGAGGCGAGATGACACCTTGAGCACTGATAAAATATTCACAGAGCCGCAAAAAGTGCGGCAACATGCTGTTTCCGTGCCCGTTAATTACCGGTATATTGCACGCACGGGAACGCTAGTTTCTTCGCAATAAATCAAACCTAGCCGTAATGCAATGCTGGTAAATCCAAGTTTTTATGTGAATTGTATTTATTATTAAGTAAAATTACATCCAACTATTTTTTACAAAGCTTTTTTTTCTATTGAATTTAAACTTCTAAAATAGCATATAATTATTTTGCAATGTAAACTGGATAGAAATGACAAAAAGTCTTGTAGCTATTTTCAGCATTTCAATTATAATACCTATTAGAAATGCTTTTTTAGTGTTGAAAATTTGGAAATTGTTGCTTAAAAAAATGACAAGGCTATATAAACTGTGTGTATACCTAACTTAGTACATCCAGTAAATAAAAATAGTGATGCTTATAACTATAAAAAAAATAAAATATTGATTGGAACCTCTGTCTGTTATAAATACTTGCCACATATTGTTTTTTGTTTATAATAACAAAAATCTCTAGATAAAAAATCTAGACAGAAACAAAATTTAAGCATGTAAATATTTTATCTAGATTAGAAAATCTGATATTATTTAGATTAAGTTTATCTACATAATAAGTGTAAAAGCTACTAATCCAATTAGTATATGTTTTAGACTCCATAAGAAAATATCAAATGAATAATTGATGAACCAAACAAACATTAAAATATGTTTAATCACCTATTTAGAATGTTTTTAATACCAATAAATGTTCTCACAACAGGAAAGAGTTCTTAGCTTCTTAAAAAAAAATTATATAGCCTTCAGACTATTGACTCATGGAATATTTTATCTATGACATTTAAAAAATGTGCGTCTTTAATATCCTTTTTTGGTTTCAGCGTGCTAGTGTTTCCTCCAGTGAGTAACTACCGACGGTTCCTGATACACAACTCAGTAGAACAGCTTGGTCGGCCAGAACTTGCCACCTTCTCAATCGGAGTCAGTGACGAACGACGCACTGTGGTGTGCTACCGGGAGAGATTGTTAAGGTAATTAATATCATGAATATAATAAGCAGTTCAAGATTGAAGCATAAAACTCTTTATAAGAATTAATAAAACACAAATTTAAAGAGAGGGAGAGCCATGCTTTGGCACTAATAGGCTCGACCGGAGTGATACCACGCCCTTACAGAAAACCGTCGTGAAACAACACTTGCGTTGTGTTTCGTCGTGTGACTGAGGTTACTAGAGGCCCAATTACCCTCTCACTAGTCTCCTGAATCCTCCACAATCCTCAAATTCCCAATTCCCAAAAGGCTGGCAACGCACTTGTAACGCCTTGGTGTTTCGGGTGTCCGTGGGCGCCGCCGATCGCTTACCATCAGGTGATCCATCTGCTCGTTTCGGTAAACGAGCAGACGGATCACCTGCTGCTGTAAAAAAAAATATGTATAAGAATTTCGACCACAGAAACATTACAACAATGAATACAAAAAAAAATTGTTAAGACTTAATAAAAATCTATGTTGGTAAAGTGAAGTTTCCTGTTTATTCTAGCTCACATAGGGTTTCAAAAGAAATTCAATAGAGGAGAGAGAGAGAGAGAGAGAGAATAGAACTAAATGTCAACAAATATCGATCTGAATCCAAAGATCTTGGAATGAAACCTTGATTAACTTCATAACTTCACGTAATAATTTGACGAGGAACTCGACTAGTTTCAAGGCATGCTAGAGGCTCATATTCATGAGCAGCATAATAATTTATTCACGAAAGTTACAATACAAATACTTGATTAACTTCCTTCATAATTCATATATCTAACTAATCATGTGAAATCGGTCTCCTAGCCACTCTACCCAATTACTCGAGTGTGAGATCATAAACTCCTACATAGTTACTGCAACACTCAAAGTTTACGAAGCATGTATCACCTTACGTGATCGACGTCCATTAATGTGTGAAAATGCCGAAGCAATCATACGCTGATATTTTATCTTAAGTAATATCTATGTAGCGGCAATCTGTCTCGCTTTTTTTTTACACCCATTGAAATCTGCGGTCATGAATGATTTAATTGACCATCACTTACGTACAAGAATGAGATAACAAGAAAAAAAGTTCAAATTCAAATTCATTTAATCGTTTGCTAACATGGGTACATAATATAGGTATTTACAAAATATACAGTTTCTCCATATTTTGCCATCACTTGGCATGCAAAGATATGTTATAAAAAAAATATGTAATAAAATTAGGTACATTAAGTTTAATTTTGTAGTTTTGTTAAATTGAATACAGTATGTCAAATAAATTAAAATCATTGAAGTCAAAAATGTAATGTCAAATTAAATATATTATGTAAAAAGGTACTTAATCATCAATTATGAATGTCACACAAGCAATGTTAAACAAATTAAGTTTATTATAATTGACCGTCATACACGCAGCCACAACAAGCCCAAGAACCATCATGTCCATTCCGTCTTTAGTCAATTACATACATATATGAAATGTGTATGTCAATTAATAAAACCAAATGATGCCTGCTAAGTTAAAAAAAAAGAATGGCGGTATTTGTTTTTTTATTTTTTTTTGTTGGTAATAAATAGCCACTCCTTGTGGTGAAATAGAGAACTACTGTGGTAATAAAATCTTTTGTTATCATATGTTTTTTGTAAATATTTTATTATTGTTTCATTCGTTCTTTTTTTCTTTCACTCACTCATTCATTCACTTCCTCCTGGGGTTGTTTAGTAAACAGTGGTACATTTCCAGTGATGAAGCTTGCGCGCGACCAGCAATGGGCCTGACACAGACGGAACGCGATGATGCTACCATATCACAAACAGGTGAGTTACCCTATAAACCATTTATTTAAATTTTGATTACAGAAAACATAATGGTACATAAATAAAGGCGGGTTTAGCCCGACATATATGACTTAATGGCATTCTCTACCAGCCAACCTTAGGGTCAAGTGGATAAATCAGAGAAAATAGGTTATTTTTCATAAGTAAACGTAAAAGTACAGTGACAACCCACTGCTGGATTATGAGTATCTTCTTCATGAGAGGATTTATCATATCGTAATTTCGCAGAATTGCATATCACAGTTTAAAAGATGAAGGTTATATTATAGAGCGGCTATTGCTCGGTGTCTGCGAAATGTATGCCCTTTTATATGCTCTTACGATATCCTCGAGAAGAGGATTTTTCCATCTGTGTAGAATTAATTAAAATACCGAGCGAAAGTTGAAAACAAACAGTGATAAATGCTTCCACTGACAGTACCTATTGCTTAAACTGCTGCGATTAATGTTTGTAGGTACACTAAGTGTTTTTAAAAGCGTACCCAATATTATAGGTGCTAATTTTTTTACGCGATGAAGCGGGAAATTGGGTAAGATCGTTGATATTCGTAAATCATAATGTAGGCTAGAAATAATGCTTTTCAGTAGACGTGTTATTTTGATTCACTCGTATTATTGTAATCGACGTAATGTCGAAAATACAGTAGTCAAAGTCAAAAACGACTTTAGTAAAATCGTAAACAAAATTATTTATCAGTTCATGAAACTTATCGATTGAAATACAACAAAGTATTGCTTAATATTATGAAAGCTTATTCGAATAACAAAGTTATTCAAAAGAACCAGGTGCTTCCCTTTTCTCTCTCTTTCCTTTTAGACAGAGCGAGACAAAAAATGTACCGTTTGAGGTAAATGCACCAAAAACATTAGTCACACGGGCTAACCGAACGGTAAAGCTTAAACTCTATGATTCAGTTCGAGTTGAATTTAATAACATTGTACAGATTTGAAAGGGTCGTCTCCCAGAAAATAAACAAATAGGAACCTTATTTGGTTTAAACAAAATATTTACGTAGAACGATTTTCGGGAACGTGGTCTTATTATTAGGATTTGTGGTGTTTCATGCGCATTCACAGTATGCATTTTTTTTTTGAGGGGGAAAATCATCCTATGACTTCTCCCGCCTTGGGTTAGGCGAGAGGGAATGTCAGACGCTTACTGACTAATAACCACCCTGTTCCTATGCTAACATACCACCGTTTTATCTTAGTGAATCCTCGTTAAATAAATACCTGGTGGAGTTTACGAGATTGCAAAAAGTACAGTATCACCTCAAGAAGGTTATCGTGAGGTTCTTGAGAACCTCACGATAACCTTCTTTAGCTTCTATTAGATTCACGCCTCTAGTCAAGAATACTCCCCGCCAAGCCTTAGCAGTTACCAGCGACAAAGTATTATATTTATCTAAGCAGATACACTAGGAATATCATAAAATGTATGTCTGTCTCTGTACTAAGATACCAGAAACGACTTACTGTTTAGTTTCCGCTTAGAAAGGTCAGTCAACGCAACAGGTCACCGCTACCCACCTATTTAGATGGTCGCAAAGGCATTCTCTTTAGTACGTATTTACTTTCCGGATAAGTCAAACGTTAAGGAGCATTAATTTATTCACCTAAGGCCATTATTAATATGATCATCTACTGATGATGGGCTACTGCCCATGATAGTCCGCTGCTGGATTCTGACCTCCTCTCAGACCTCCTCTGGGAGGCCCAGAAGATCAGATTTCTGGCAGATCTTCACGCTTGCCAGGTGCTTTAAAATTGCAGTTTAAAGGACTTTATCCGATAGCTGAGATTTCGCTGCTTCCTGGTAAAATATAGAATGTGTGTGGAACGCTGCAAGAGTGGCGGTGATTGGAGAACATACTTTTTTTAAAACAGTAATGAATAGAGTTTCTTGCTCGTTCTTCTCCATTCGAATCTACATTTTGGAATGAGCACCTAGCTTCACTAACGGGCTGACTGACAGACTATTATTGTTGACGTTCCAAAAGTACCAAATTTTGGTTTAATTGAAGTAAATGCTTAGACTTTGACTTTACTACTTTGCCGTCTGCCACATGAATTGTTGTGCTTAGATTTACAGGAGTCTAATGATAACTGTGACTTTTGTAATCGAATAGGTAAAGGGAATTAAATACATGTTAAAGTATATTACTTCAAACCGCGACTGTGGTTATTTGATGTAACTTAACTCCCGTTATGACCATATTGCGTATCGAGACACGGGTTTCATACATACAACATTATTCAGTACTTAATGTTCATTACAATGCATTTTTTAGTTTGATCCGTGTAATTAATTAATGAAATTATGTATTTATAAGTGCTATTGCATTCCGACCAGGATACAGTCGATCATTCTTCCACGTTTCACGCTACCGTGATTTGTTTTACCCCAGTATTTATTGTTTATTGTAAAATGTATAACGTACACCAGCTTATACAATTGTGCAATTAAACCAAGTTAAAGTTATAAACTTCCTAGAGTTATGAAACCCTACATATTATTTGTATCATACGTCGTTCTCACAACTTTCGCGGTATGTTAGCGTGTTCGTATGTCGTTTGCACGAATGCAAGCGTGGATACTGCCTATGCCAAAATGGACGCGAACTGATGTTATTATTTCGTGATTCGAACTTTTTTTTTACTGGATTATTTATACTTATACAGCGTGGGTTTATTGAATTCAATTACTGTACTATATTCTAGACAGATTGAGCACTAAGTATTTGAACCGTTTTCGAAGAAGGTCTTCGCTTATTGAGCAAGGTACTGATGAGAATTGACACTTCTTGGTAGTTTATAAGAAATATCTTTTAAAGAATCGACAGCATTTTATTAAAATGATTTTTAGTAATTCCAAAATGTAAGGAAGACAAGACTTATCTTAGTTCTGAACTCGTTGCCAAACTAACGGCTGGCTCCTAACGACTGGGAAGAAACTGTCGTAGATATTTTAATCAACCTGTATACGTATCAATGTATCGAACTATCGACACATTCAAAACAATATTTAGTAGAAAGTAGAATCGCTTGTGGATTCGTAAAGGTTTTACATGGCATGCATTTTTTTTGTAAAGTTTTAAATAAGTTGCACTTGTTTATTTTCGTGGTGCACGTCCGTTCAGTTCGAAAGATGGACATCGACTAAATTTTGTGTGGTCATAAATTCACAATCATTTTAGTCTATGGACATCGACCATATAGAGCATTTCAGATCCGAAATATCATAATTAACGTGATTTAAATGGATAAAGAGTAAAGGTGAAGCAATGTACTTGCTTGACGAGTTATAAAATAGCAATAGAACATATTTTACGAATTGGAACCAGAGTTATGCATTATGCACATATAAATAAAATTTGCATAAATTATGTTGTAATAAAAAATGACTTATTTATGATATTTTCTCGATGAAGTCCTTTTTAGTGTTTTTTACCAAAGACAGCCTTTCTGGTTGCCCTATTTATTTAAATAGGTTAAAGGTTAATATAACTAGGACTAGGAAACTAACTTACAAAATAAATTGAGATATCTCTACTTGGGATTTTCGACTCGAAAGTCTAATTATTCATATTAATTACTAATCCACAGTCCACATATTGGCAATTTTGAAACATATAAATAAATTTTTCTGTCAGCCTGTCCACCAATAAAGCTAGGTGCTCGTTTTACGAAGCTCTCTTCTTGAGAACAACAATCAAGAATCTCCATTATTACTCATTAAAAATTCACGATCAGAGCTCCTCCCAAATCCAACGGCCTTAAGACTTCTGAAAAGTCCCACAGGACCTCCATTCGTCCTTCACAATGTCGTGTAAACAAAAACTGCTCCAGCGCATGAAATTCCAATGACATAACCGCTGATGCAACGCAGCCGGCTTAGCGGAATGACCGGGCCGCGAATGTGGAACGCAGAAAGTGAAAGTAGCACGCCTTGCTGTTGAGCTTTTAAGTGCAGCACTTGCGGTTGGAATGGTATACTTCTACCTTTTATGGGTGTGCCTGAGGGCTAGGGATAGTGACCCATTTTTGGTTGGGTTGGGATTTGGTATGTAGGGGCTTGTGATGTTTCGAAAAGTCTTGATAGGTGTTGAAAAGGTTTTTGTTTGTATCTTGATTGGAATTGGGTTGTTTGTAATTTTCCTCTGTACTTAAAGGTTGTAAATGAGATCTATATAAGTTGTGATATATTTTCATCAACGATGCAGGACCTTCAAGACATTTAAATCAAATCACTTTAATGCATCTATAGTGTGTACAGGGACCACCCTGTTCTGTGAACCATCACAATTCGATTTAGAAAGGGATTAGACCACTCTTTTCTTAATTTTTTAACTCCTCAGCTTCACATTTCTGAAAATTCTGTTCCATTTAACAACGTTTATGGTGAACTCTAATGTCTGAAAAACGTTTTATAGCCCTTTGAAATGCTTGGGGACACTACTATGTGGTCTCCAACCAGTTGTCAGATATTCGTTGTGTAGCTAATATCCAATACTTGTGTAATTCGTGTATCCATATAACAGCGATTGTCTAGCACCTGTACTTAGCAGACAGCGAGCAAATAAGCCATTACTTCTTTGGACAAACATTCTTCTGTTTGGTTTAATGTCGTCCAAACGAAACATTGCAGTGTTTGACTGTTTATTCTCCGTGATATTGACCTCTGTTGTGTGGACTGTGAATCATTGGCTATTGTTGGGATGTAGAAGAACATATGAAGTCGCTAGCATGCGAAGAGTCTTGAACTTTAATTGATTCTTGACTTAATTACATAATAATAAGATCTAAAATGTCTTAAAGTATTTGAGAGATGATGCAGTAGATTGATATGCTCGTCTTCGTCTATAAGTACATGGAGTCCCTGTCTGCTATTTCTTATTATGAGTCGGGGCTCCGGCTCGAAGTGCAGGAGTATGAACGGGGTGGTTTTTAGTCAGTAAGAGTCTGACACTCCCCCCCGC